TTCCCTTCTCTCTGCAAACAGTACATGCAAGTCCTTCACCTTTTTTCCTCCTTAATTCAGAGGAATATGAGCTAAAAGGGAGGCTCTGTGGGGGATCTAGACCAATGGTGGAGAGATCTTGGGGGAGGTTAGAATGAAATCTCTAACTATTCCCCACCCCATTATATCTGCCAAGAAAATCCCTAAAAGGGCCATGAGGAGTCAGACATGACTGAAATGACCAAACAACAAAAATTTTCAGAGCCCTCACACTGAACCATAAGCTTTTCTGTGACTGCAGCCTCTAATCAAGGGACTAGGAGGGAAAGATTTCTTTAGATTCTCAAGGCTTGGAAGAAAGGCTGGGGGAAAATGGCCACCAGATGGCAGCAAATGAGCAGTCCTTTAGCTAGTCTTGCCTCCATTATGTGAATACTGTCCAGGGTGCTGCAAAATCTTTGTAACTCTACCCCATAGCAGCAGCAGCAGTAGTCTGTGTGTCTCTAGGTTACCAGGGTTCTCAAATTACATTTACTGGTCTCCTGATTTGTGTGTGTATATTTACAACAATTCTCCTAGTGAGAATTAGATACCCTTTTCCCTGTCATGTGGAAACAGGTGAGAAAGGCAAGTCTTTCCTTCTTCCCTGAATAGAAGAATCAATTACAGTCAGCCCTTCCACATAGCAGGGGTTAGCGGCCAGAAGCCTGACCAATTTGGAAAGCCTGTGTAAAATTTTTTGGCCCTTTCTTTGTACCAGAGAAGACATCTAAATTATTATGGTATTAAAAGATAAAATGTTGATATTATGCAAAACTATATATACATATTTTGCATTCCTGAGTTCCCAAATTTTTCTTTCTCTCTGCTGGCCTTCATATGTCATCTGTGGCTTCCACAAAATTCCCCCCAAATTCTCATTTAATTTCTTATGCCAAACTTTGATATATCAAAACTATGATGGGAAAAGTCACAATGTGGAAGGGATAACTATTCCTTTTTCTTGGGATGTGGAAGGTCAATTTACAAGGTCATTTAAAAAATCTTTCCATAAATAAAGGTTTATTTTTTCTCCTCTTACCTCACTCTCTAATTTAAAGGAAAAACAAAACCCACCTAGCAAATATGTGTAATCAAGTAAACAAATTCCCACCTTGACCAAGTTCAAAAACATGTACCTCTGCATCTTGTATCTATCAGTTTTTCAGGAGGCGGGCCCTATCACTGCTCCTCTGGAATTATGGTTGGTCACTGAATTAATCAGAGCTCTTGAGTCTTTCCAAGTACAAGGTTCTTCTCATTATGCCATACTTTTGTGAAAATGAAGAATTTTCTGTTTTTTGCAATGGCAGTCGTCATCTGTGTCTAATATTCTGGCTAACCCTTTAGTTTCTTGCTCTGATGGCATTTTAGGGAAGCCCAGTAAGTTTAATAGCTCAAATCTGCATTAAGATGTCTGGAATACTTTCTAGAGTGTGGTAAAGTCATATTTACAAAGTTCCTTCCTCACTATACTCCTATAAGGTAGGTAGTAAAAATCTTATCCCATTTTCCAGATGAAGAAACTAAGACTGAGAGATTAAATAACTTGAAAAGGGGCATCCAGCTAAGAAATGTTTAAATCAGTACTGCTACACCTCATTCTTGGTATAGAGTTGTCCCAAACCTGGTCATATTTGTGCAAAATAGTAATGACAGATTGAGAGGCCAATCAGCATGGAGGACAGGAGCTAGTCTTGGCATCAAGAATCCAGGAAGACATGGATTCAAGTCTTGCCTCTGATACCTACTGGCTAGATGATCCTGGGTAAGTCCTTTGACCTTTTATTAATGGGCAACTCTCTTAAGACTATAAGGTTGCAGAGAAGGTGCTGATGTACGCTAGTAGAGGGCTTTCCTCACTGAGAGCTCCCTGAACTGATTAAAACACAGGCCTGTTCCATAAATAAGAACTACTTCCATTTACATGCTTTGGAGTGTTATAAGTTGCTGTTTACTAGGCCCATGTCAGGCAGATAAAAATAGGATTATTATTCCCACTTTACAGATGGGGAAACTGAGGCTAGATTTGTCCTATTTCTTTCAAGTTAGACATAAGCCAGGAATAAGTAGGCACTACACAGTATACAGAGATTTTTAGCAGTTCTTTTAAAAAGACTAATGAGTGGTATTTACACCATTTTGGGCTATTAAGAGATAACTAAAACAAGCAAAAACAAGCAACCTAGGCCAGATAATAATAATAGCCCACATCAATACAGTTCTTTACATACATTATCTTATTTGAACTTCACAGCAACCCTGTGGGGTAGGTGCTATTATTATCATCACTTTACTGAGCCTCAGTTTCCTCAAGTGACTTGCCCAGGGTCACACAGCTACTTAGTATCTGAGGCAAGATTAAAATCTACGATCTAGGTCTTCCTAGCTCTAAACATTCAGCTGGATAGGAAAACAAACAAAAGAATCAATGAATAAATAAATAAATTTATTGAATCTGAGCAGCAAAAAGGGAGCATTGAAAGGGGAAATGAGAAAGTGCCAAAGACAGACTTAGCTTTGCACTCCAGTTCATTGCATCCTAAGAACAGAGACAAAGGAAGAGAGGGGAGACTGATGCTCAGAAATGGAGGGAGAGGCTGCCCACTTCTGCCCAAGGTCAGCCCTGAAAACCCAGGACAGTACGAGATTAGAGCATGACTAGGAAAAACAATGTTATGTCGGAGTAATGGGATGCATGCCAAGCTAGCTCACTACAATTCTCTATGACCTGCCATTTTGAATTTTCCATGCTCCATCTTCCCTCTAGTGAAATGAGTTAACATCTGAGTCATCACAAGGATACAGCATGGGCTTGGAGATAGAGATGACTTCTGATGCCTTTCATCATTCAAAAGGTGATAGAAATGTACATTTAATGTAGGCTGTTCTGAGAATGTGAAGCCTTGAAGCAACAAGAATGCTTATTTGTTGTGGCCCAGTGCCAAAGGATACAGGCTAGACAGGTAAGGAAGGACAAAGTATTCAGTAAGTACTTAATATGCACTAAGCTGGGCTAAGCACTAGATATAGATGGAAACAAGACAGTCTCTGCCCTCAAGACTTTACATTTTAACAGGAAAACACAATACATATAGGCCTACAGCGCTCCTTACACTGTGGATCCTGACCCCATATGGGGGTCATGGAAAATTTGCCAACAGTAAAAGGTTTCTGAATGTGCAACGACCAAAAATGAATTCAAAATCAAATGTGTGATGAATTCGAGGTGTCTCTGGCCACTTGCTTGCCCATATTACATGGAAGCTTGGTTTTGAACACAAAGCACGTGAACTTTGCACTGCACATGCCCTCAGGTCATGCAAACACAACATGGAAAAGGAACTAAGCCTGGAAGAACTTTAAGAAGCCCTGATTTAGAGGAGCTGGAAAGGGAGTGAGGTGACTATGAATTTGGGGAGAGGGTGGAGTCTGAGGAATGCTAAGGCCAGAATGAGAAGAGGTATGGCTGAGGTCCTTTCCAGAATGGTGGTCAATGGAGAGAGTCACCAATGAGGCGAGGAGGGCCCCAGTGGGAGATTTCTCATTGTGGGAATGTGATCCAAATATATGAGGAGAAGGAGATGGAGTCTAGAGAGTGTAGCCGAGAGTGGGACTTGCAAGTCAAGACATCACCCTCCTGATGTCATTGGTCCTCTTTGAGAGTGAAGGATAAGCAGCAACAAATGGGTAAAGGCAAGTAGCATGGATGTCTACAGAAGTAAAATGGAATTTGCGGTGGAGATACTGTAGGTCTCATGAGATAACCAAACAAAAAAGCTCAAGGAGGTAGCATTGGCGGTTATGATTTAGTTTTGCTGAACATTTCACACCGAATTGATGAGCTACACAACACATTAGAGTCAGCCTGGCACTGGGACTCCACTGTAGGAAGCCTTAGGGTCAGGTGACCCTAGGGATCTACCTTAATCCCTTGGTGCCTAAACAATTCCTTAAGAACTTCCCCACTAAGTCATGGACTGCTCTCTATCTACATTAGGAGTGCCTGTCCCCCTCCCCCTTTTAATTGAACAGAAATCTTAAGGGATCTGTAGTGTTGGAGCTCAGTTTAGGCTCTGCATTGGTTATAGATCCGTTTTAGCCCTAGTGTGCCAAAAGCTCTCCTAAAAGCCTTTTGGTCAACCTGATTTTCACGGCAAGGGGCAAGTCTAAATAGCTAGCCCATATATTTTTTCTTTCTTTTTTCTTTTTTACTTTTTGCTGAAGTGATCTGGGTTAAATGACTTGCCCTAGGTCACACAACTAGTGGGTGTCTGAGGCTGGATCTGAACTCAGGTCCCCCTGACTCCAAGGTAATGGATGATGAGGCAATGGAAATGCAATGGAAAGAAAACCTGGGTTCAGAATGAAAAAGGCCTCGCTCTCTGAATGTCCTGGCACTCCTGCTCTCCTGCCTGGATGTCTGTCGGCAAAGACCCTCTCTCAGGATTCATCCCTGCAGCTCTAAAGTGGGGGTGGGGTAAAGATCATGCCTTAGGAGCCCACCCTGGTTACTGTGGGCACACACTGGATCATACAGCCCATCCCCAAAGTCTCCATTTTAAGGTTGAAGATCTATGTCTATTAAAGATTAAAACTGTATGGAGACTTCTGGGACTCCCTCTATATACAGGGAGCTTTGTAAGCTGTAGAGCTCTATAGGAATCCAAGGAGTCTTTTGGGATCCCTGTACAAATGAGCTAAGGTGTTGTTTAATAAATCATTGTGACCAAAAACTGTCACGTGCTGGTGGCCAGTGGTTTGGTGATGAGCCTCTCTGAATTCAGGCTGCTCATGTAAATACTTCAGTGCTTACAAGTTTTGAATCTAATCTTCCCAGAAGCTGAGTAGATATGCAGAAGACAGAGGGCAGGACTTTTGGGGGGGCCAAACGGGGGTAAGATGTTATATTTTGGTCCTTTCTATAACTTATCAGTAAATATCCTTGGATAAAAATGAATAATGTTAATCACCATTTGATATGGGCAAGATGAAACACCCTGGCTTGTGAGCCACAATTCCTGAGGATTACTCTTGAAATCCTGAGGGTAGAACGAGCAGTTATCCCTCGGGACCCAACCTAATAATCTAGTGCAGGTGGAGAGAGTGAGTTTAAGAGCCTCTACACTAGTCATCAGAAGAAAAATCACATGAACTTTATTCAAAACCTTCCAATCTGATAGGCCCAGCCAGAGAAGAAAGGGTCACCTCCATCATGATAAAGCATCAGAGGGGAAGACCTTTAGTGCCTGTAACATGGTGGGAAAAGTTGCTGGACTTGGCATCACAAGAATAGCGGTCAAGTCTCAGACCTGCTGTTGCTGTTTGGTGGTTAGATGACCTTTGGCATTCTACCCCACCTTTGTGACTCTTCGTTCTGTTCTAACTGTGTCATGGCAACAGATGTTGACTCTGAATAACTGTGCAGTTGTTTTCAGATATCTGAAGGCTTAGGTGAGCTGCTATTATGAAGCTCACTAGATGTATGAGAGTGTTTAATGGTATTAAGCGTTTATTTACCCGGAAGAGAAAGCTCAGAGGTAAGGCTTGAGAAACCTTTTTCAGAATATTTTGCAGGTAAAATTGAACAAATGTTTTTATATCCACCAAGTACAAAAAGGGGAAAATGAATACCTTCAATAGAGGAGCATAACAGTACCAGCAAAACACTACTTGTGTGTTTGTTCAAATTGATCCAGAATTAACTGAAGGAAAGTTTGATTAAAAGAGCAGAAATGGTTAATTAGACAATGCTTGAAGGAAGGTGCCTTTCTCAATTGAGAGTACGTACCACATTTCCACAAAGTGTTGTCTAGAAAGGGTACAACGCACTAGGAAATTTTCATGGATGTAGGATCATTTGTTTCTGTAAGACTGGTGGTAGTAGAGAAATTTTCTCTGGACTTTAAGAGTAAACTGTGGCCCATCCCAGTGCCTTCTCTGCAGATGGACCACTGCAGATTTTGCTCCAGTGAAATTGGTTTTACCGGAAAACCTGATTTGTGGGTCATGTTTCTTCACACCAAAGATTGTTTTTTTAACTCAGTGTTTAATAAGTTCTCCCTCCCCAGTCTAGCTGATGAGCAGGGGTTGGGGTGAGACTTACTGACCCCATGACCCTGCCCTCCCACCAAAGACAAGAGTCTATTTCAGCTCCTGAGAGGCTCCTGCATAGGTGAAGCCTGAGTGCCCTGAGCACATCCCTGCCAAGCGTATGGAACTTTGGGACCTCCCTCAAAGTGCGGAACTTTTGAGAAGTTAGACCACTTGGCCACCCGTTAGTAGTGGAAGCCCTCTGGGGTTTGGGGGTCAGAGTCAAGATGGAAGCCACAGAGTCATTTGCAACACTGAGCAGAGGGGCTGGGCATGGCATGCTGGCTCCAAGGACCCTGAGAGCCCTTATTGCCCTCTCTACCCACTGAGCTTGAGGGCACGGGGCACATAGGGAAGTTTCATTCCTTTAGCCAACTGCAGTGTTCAGGACCACCTTGCCTGGTCCTGCTGGGGCTGATGCCAGCCCCAAAGGGTCTCCCTCTTAACCCCTTCTCCTTGGTCAGTTTGATCCTTTCCTCAGGGGCTCACTTATTCCACTAGCTTTTGGGTGAGCTCAATTCCAGAGGCCAAAAGGGGGTGGCTTTCACCCTCTTCCTCACCCCCAACTGGCCCTTGTTTGCTGCTTCATGGGTCACGATGAGGGTTCCATCTCTGTGGTGTACTGGGCTTTGTGCAGTTCTTTACAGTCTTATGATGCTTTAGTGAAGAAAGAACAATGTCATGTTCACTAGGGAAATCTAAGCATGAGCATCTCCTGCCTTCTCCCTTGTTGAAAGCCCAGAAGCAGAGCTGAGAGAGGGTCTCACCTAAAGCCCTCATTGGACTGGTGACCTCACAGAGGTCCAGAGTTGTCATTGCTTGCCCAGTGCCACATAGAGTCGAGAAGGAATGTGCCCATCCTGCCTGCGTCCGTGAAGATGAAACCCATGCTCCTCAGGAGTAACCTGGAGTTGTGTTGGCATCATTGATTATATCCAGCTGAAGCTACAGGGAGTATGTAGAATCTGTTTAGACTCTCATTACCCTTTAGAATTGGCTCACAAACCCCATCCTTGCATCAAGGATGTAGCGTTACGTGACTGCCGTTCCCTGCAATAGGGTCGATGAATGGATAGAGCCTCCAAGGCAGAGCAGCCCTTTGGAGCTGCTTCAGCCTTTCTTGACAAGCTCTTTTTGTTCTACGTGGGAGAATACTTTAGACTAACTTTGGCTCTTTCAGTACATTTCCAAGGACACTGACTTTCTGACCACATGTGTTTCATGCGGTTTACCATCAACGATCATGCTACTACTATACATATAACAAAAATAGAACCTTGTGTGTTGTAATGGATAGAGAGGCAAGAAGAATTGTATTTAAGTCCCACCTCTGATGCTTAATTTCAGAGCTCTCTACACCAGAGGTACCACCCTCAAAGGCCCCCCAAAGGCAACTGGAACCAGATTCAAGTGTAATTGGGAAATGTTTCACAGCATTTTAATTTTTGGTGCTGTACAGTGCGTATACCACCCACTGTTCATGCACGTTGCTTCTTGGTGAAGGACACAAAATTGTGACTTTTCTTTAAAACACACAAGCAGTTTGCAAGTGATGGGAAAGAAAACATCCTTTAACATTGAGAGGCCACATAACCTTCAAACGTTGGGCAAGTGATTATGTAGGAGACATGTCTGATTTATTCTCAACTTGTACTAATGGCCAGAAGTGACAAAAAGGCAGTTATCAGCCTAATAGAATTATTAAAGCTAATTGTTCAAGTAGTGATTAGCACAAAGGGGTCAAACACCAGCAAAGTGCAGCCTGAACCTGATTAAGGTACAATTGGGAAATATTGAACAAAATGAATAACCTCCATTCTGTTTGGGTTTCACACTACTGGATTAGCCTTTATACCTCCAGGAAGTAGAAATAATCAGTGTTCTTCTATAACTTCACATGGCTTACAAATTTTTAAAGAAAAAAGGATTTTTAAAAAATTACTGTATCATTCCATTTGTGAAGCTTTGCTGTCTCCTGACATTCTAATATCCTAAAGCCATTCATGATTTTGGGAGGCATTTATGTTTTTAGAGACGTAGTACATACATGGTCACATCCTCTTTTGGAATTTTATTCTATTTCAAAACATAATTATGCCTTTTACATGATTAATAGGTTTTTGTAATCTGTTGAATCAAAGCGTCTATGATGTATTCATTATGGTAATATATCATTATTTCCCCAAACTGAAGACTTTCTAGTATTTGAACTTTCATTTTTTCACTGATGAGGAAAAATGTTTACTTGTGTGTGTGTATATATACATCTGTATATACACCTGCATATATATATATACACACACACACTCATAAACATATACATATGTATATATATTCATTGTCTCTAAACACATAAATGCTGCACAAAGTCATGAATTGCTTCAGAACATTTGAAAAGCTGAATCAGTGAGGCTTGACAAGTAAAACTGTATGTTTTGGTACTTCTTCAAAGGAGAATTCAATTTTAATCAAGTTTTCTCTTATTGGTTTCTTTGAATATTGCAAAACATGTTTGTAGTACCTCTGAAATTGTGGTGAAGGGAGTATTGTTCTTGATTTAACCCTTCTGATTTTGTAAAGTTTGGGGAGCTATACTTTAATGCCTTATATAATCAGTTAATGAAAGAACTAATTTAGTATACGAAAATACTAATTCCAAAATAATTTTATGATTTCTTCTCACTGTTTTATAATTCTTTCTTGAATAATGTCACTTATTTTTTTTTCAAGTATCATCTTATTAATCGAATTGCTGATTCTTTTTTCCAAGCTAAAAAGGCCTTACATATATACTGTGTTGGTACTGAGTTGTTCTTCAAACTGAACTATAAAAGTGGGGATTCAAAACTAAATTACTTGTATAGTATTTGCTTTGTATGCAGTGAACATGTTTGGTCCAATTTGATGTTTTGCGTTGCTGTATCTTACAATGGTGATAATCAGTTTTAAATGTCATTGGTTCCTCTCTTTACTAAAATATCGCTGGGAAATGAGATCAAGTCTGCTCCACTCCCAGGTTGATTTATGACTGACTAATCCAGTTTTAAAAATTTGTACCCAGAAACTCTAACAAGTTATTCTTTAGTTTCTGCTCTGTTAATGACACCACTTAACAGGTTAATGTATTGTATTACTTTCTAGATGAGCCAACCAGCCCAAGCATTGATCAGGATGTGGCACATATTCCTGCTTCTGCTGTCATTTCAGCATCCACCTCTCATGTGCCCACTAGAGCACAGATTCCTCCCAGCCTTCCAAGTTCAGCCCCTTTAATTTGCTGTCAACTGTCACACGACCATGGTAAGTATAAATTAAGAAAGGCCTAGAGCCAATTCTACCCCTCTTCTTCCTTCAGCAAAGCAGACCAGTTGTCAAAAATACCTTGCCAGAGTCTCAGTATCAGGCAGACTTTGCTTGGTGCTAAAGCAGAACCAAAATTTCAGAGTCCACACTCCCCCCAAAGAAGAGTCAGAAAGAAAACTCCTCAGTAAAGGTGCCTGTTTTTATTGGAGAGATTTGACACATTTGGTGATTAAGACTACTTAGAATATGAAGTTCTAAACCTATTTTAACTTTGAAATTTCTTCCTTAAATATTGTTTTTTGCTAACCGGCAGTGGTTGGGTTTATCTGGCTTATAAGGGCCACAAACCTGGGGGTACTTTCCCTTTCAGGCTTGGGCTCAAAAGATGTAGCTCGATAGTCTATATATTAAAATATTTAAAAGCAAGCAAAATGTATTCCTTAAAACTGCAAGTACAAAATTCAGTTCTAACACCCATTGTTTGATACAGAAATTAAACCTGTACAGTATGAAGAACTTCGCATGTTACACACATAGATATAAATTAGATGGGCTACCGTGGTACTTAAAGAGGCCCGCTTTGGAATTGAGTCATCTCAGGCTCCATCTTTTCTTAACAAGATTCATTACTACCAGCACTAATCATTTAAATATTCCTTTAAGAAACTCTCACGAAGGCCTCCTTAGCAGGAAAACACAGGGCTCATATTATCTGGAGTGGAAATCTGAAAGCCCCCAGGCATATTATCCAGCTCTTTATTTTTTTGTTTAGATACAAGAATGGGAGGTAGCCTGGAATAACAGGTAGAAAGCTGGCCTCAGAATCAGTAAAAACCTTGAATTCAAATCTTCCCCCTGGCCCATAGAGATTGTGTGACCTTGATTGTGTGACTCTTAACCTCTGAGGGCTAGAAGCCTCTCTCTGAGCAGGAATCTGTATTTCTAGAATGAGCTCCATCTGCTGATAGTATTACACATCTAGTCCAAGAAAAAAGAGATCAGACTGTCAACACATGTACTCACGCATATATGTGCATGCGTGTGTGTATAGATAAAGACTGGAGTATTAAAAACTTAAAGATGTTGTAGTAGAAGATCATGGATCTAGAATATTTCAAGAATCTTTCTCTGTATTTCTAGCACAGTTACCTTAGTTATAATAGGGACTTTGTGAACATTTGTGTAATTTTTTTCATTGAAAACTTCAGCGTAATTCGCATTGTAAAGGGATGAAAAACAACTCTCCGTGTATTTTAAAATACATGGAAGAAAATAATTTCCATTTGGTAATGAAAGACAAGAGGTGGATTAGGATGAACTGAAACATTGTTATTGGTGCTTTTTTATGTTAAAGGGATCCCATTTAAGCCAACATAGTCCATGTATTTCAATTATGATTCAAACATTTTGTTTCCCCTCTTTTTTCCCCCAATGTATGACCTCCTTGTTTTCAACAATAACCAAAGATGACACCAGTCCTCCAGAAGGCACGTGGAGAAAAGGCATTGCAAACGTTAAGAACAAAACACTTCCGAAAAAGCCTGTAGGAACCTTTGGGGTCACCCTTGGTGACTGCCTGCCAGCTCACACGAATCCGGTAGGAGACAAAAGTCTTGCTTGTACCCTAATCGTCCAAAGCATCTGTAACCTCATCAGTGTGGGTGCCCCCTCCAGTGATATGGGGAACAATCTCTGATGGTTGTCCATGTCTTCCGTAAATTGGCCCCTGGCAAGGGTGTGCACCCATGACAGGGGCCTTACTTTTTATTCTCTTGACATTTTGTAGCTCCCACTGGAGGTACAAGGTATGCATTGGTAATCCCTTGCCCTCACTTCAGTGACCACCTCATCTTTTTTTGTGTGTCATGTTTCTTTCCATGACATTCTTAATGTGTACATAATTTCCTTTTTGTAATGGGTAACCCCCTTGTGCCCAACCTACACTTCTCTATTGACCTTTGGATGTTCCTTAACTTGGAAGCCTGGGGTTGTTCAAAAAGGTTTTGCGGTTTTCCAAGAGCAGTCCAGCTGCTCTCATCCTCCTCTTCATCTCTGGACCCAGATATAGGTCCCATTGGACAGATGCAGTAGGTGTCCATTCAGACACATGTTGGCGTCTGGGCATCCATTTGGTCTTCCCTGCACAGATGGTCAGGCCAAACTCCTTTGAGGGATTGCAGATCTCTTGCAGGAGGCTCTGCAATGTCTTGTGGCTTGAGGCAATGAGCAGGATGTCATCTACAAACAGGACCATGTGTAGAACCTCTCAGCATCCACAGCGGGTCCCTTTTCCCCCTTGACTCTACGCTGAACTTGCTCAATTCACTAGCACATATCTCCAGTTTTATGCCTCACTGGATGCTTTTGATCAGAGGGTGATTAAATAACATGATTTAAGCTGTCAATAAAATAAAATGAGGATGGTGTCTCGGTGGGAGACACCTTGTTGGAAAAGAGCCTGGAAGACAGCATTTTGCTTCCATGAGTGAAATGTTTTTTCATAATTAATAAACATTATGTTTGTTAATAAGATATTATCTTCTCTATGAATTTCAGTTAATTTTGAGATGTGCTCCACTGTCAGATATCGTTTGTGAAAACCCTCATGTTGCCTAATACCTTTCATCAGAGTGAGATTTTGTCCATACCCCATTCCTTAGATACCTTAAAAACCACCACTCAACAAACATCCTTAGAAGTTGATATCATCACCACCAACATCCTCTGTTAATGACATACTTGTCCCAGTAGGACTGCTTTTCCTACTTTCTCATTAAAGCCCCTTTCTACTTCTTCTATGTCTTGGAGATTGTGATGTTAAGCTCCAGGTGGGGTGATCCCAGTGTCCTTGATGGATGAAATAGTTAATTGTAATATGTTTTAGATAGGTGTTACTGTCTAGTGACTCTCCTTTGTTTTACGAGACAAAGCTGACAGTAATCATCTGCCATCCTTTTCTTAAAAAAGATTTTACAAATGAGTTTATGCTCTAACTTGGTGTTGGCTTCAGGAGCCATCTCTCAACATTTGGCTATCAAGGCAGATGTTTGCTGACTAAGAGACTTTCTGCCGAGCTCTATCATTTACTTTGATTTAATTTCTGCATGAAATTATGGTCTTTGCTGTTGATGTTAATGTTGATGTTAAAATGATGAGATTTTATTTCAGGGGAATATCTGAGGTTATTAAAAACTGTCCGGTTTTGCAAAGGCAATCCAGCCTGCTCTGCTTCTGCTCAATTCTGGGGTCAGCTCATTGTCCTCTTAGAATATCTAAGATCAATGTACTGATAGGCTAGTTCTCCAGGTTGACCATCCAAATGCATATTGCAGTCTCCAGGAGACATTCTACTTCTTCGACTCAGTGTTTCCTGTATGGAGTATTAGGCCTACTTTCTGGAGAGAGTAGAGATCTCACTTAGGAGGTTCTGTATAAAGACATGGAAATTTCATTCGGCTCAGTGCCGTCTTTGGACAAGAGCATCTGGAGGACCTCACCACCAATACCACCACTTTCTTTTCTTGTACTTCATGACAATGCCGAACTCCTCGAGCAAGCACACATCTGTCTGTCTTATGCTTCCCTTGAAATTACTAATCCAAAGTTGAACAAAGTTATCCCTGAGAAATCTTTCACGGAATCCTGGATGATTTTGGTGCAGATGTGGGAAACACATTAGAGAAGATAGTTGGTCAAATGGTTTTTATTGTTGTTTCCACCTTTGTACTCAAGGAGGACCAATGACATCCCAATGTTGGTGTCAAGGGACAGTGTATTTGACTGTGGCTCATCAATCCAATATGGGTTTGGAAGGCTCTACCACAGACTGGGAACAAACAGTCCATTTGAACATTTGGGGTGGAGATATCTCTAAACGCACACATGTCACGTTTCCCTTGTGCTCCTGCATTTCTGCTTGGCTCATGGAGAGCCTAGTGCCATGCTGGATGCGGGCATACCAGGCTGGGCAGTCCTGTGCCAACATCTCCCATGTCTCACAATTGATAGTAAAGTTCTTCGAGAAACCTTGAGAGTGTCCTTGTACTGCTTCTTCTAACCTGTGTGTGAGCATTTGCCTTGTGCTTGTTCTCCATAAAATAGTCTTTCCAGCAAACATATGGTAGGCATTCACACAATGTGGCCAGCCCATAGGAGCTGTGCTCTCTGCAGTAGGATTTGAATGCTTGGCAGGTCAGCCTCAGAGAGGACATCAGTTGCTGGGTACCTTATCTTGCCAGGTGATCTTCAGAATCTTCCTAAGACAATTCAAATGGAAACAGTTTGGATAGTCAAGAAGCAGCAGAATATTGCTATTCCCTTTTTAGCCATTAATTACAAAAGATGGATTACATTAAAGACACTATCATTTCTGGAGGCCTGCCTGTTTGTTTCTGAAACTTTATTAGGATTGTGCTCCGTATAGATGTATACTAACTTTGTATCCCAAAATTGAAGTTTGATGTCCTACGAGCATCTGTTCACTCAAGCCAGAGTGACATCCCTAAGTCAACCTCTGGAAGTCCTGTTCTTCCTCCAAGCCTCATTTGAGCAGCTACCTCTCTCCATTAAACCCGCCCCCTGTCCTTCCCAGTCCCTGGTTAGTCTCTGCCCTCAACAAGAGGCCAAGTTTAGAAAACAGCTGGCAGGCCAATATCTTTTTTGAGACATTAAATCAATATGTGTTTGGAGAGAGGTGTGTAAAAGCTAGATTTCAAAGTCTGAAGTAAAGTTGACCTTCTTTAAGAGCAATTTGCATTCCCATACTCTGTTCGTGAGCTAATTGCCTGACTTCTAGTGTTCTTTGCGCCAGCCAGAACATATCCAGTCGTTTGACAGTCATCAGAACAACCATATTTGGCACTTGAAGACTTACAAAGCTTTACAATAACAACCCTGTGAAAAAGATGCTGCAGTCATCATTAGACCCTTTTCATGGAAACTGGGTCTTGGCAGAGGGAAGTCACGGGCCCACCTTCTCACAGCTAATAAATGCTGAAGGCAGGATTCTGAAGCTAAGTCTTCCAGACTCCCACACGAAGTACTCTATCAGATAACTCTTTCCCCTCTTACATCCTCATTTCCATCTCAGCAGTCCAAATATGTTTAACTCAGCTACAACCGAACTCACTATTCTTTTGATTCTCCACATGACCTAAAGAGCAAATCTTTTTTTTGAGAAACATATTTTATGTAGAGATAAATAATAGCTTAATATGATCATGTGAGGCCTCTAAAAATAAGAATAATCTCTTTTTGTTTTGTAGTACATTCCACGCATAGTTGAGATCTGCTGCCAGTTAATTAAGGAAAGAGGACTTCACCATACAGGGATTTATAGAGTTCCTGGAAATCATGCTGCCATCTATAGGATGCAAGAAGAACTCAGCAAAGGAATGGCTGACATCAATCTACAGGATGATGTAAGTTCATTCATTCATTTTCATGTTTCAGAATGTTATGGTGACTGTGACATATTACATATTTCCCTTCTGCATGCCTAGAAATGGCAAGACTTGAATGTTATCAGCAGTCTGCTGAAACTGTTCTTCAGAAAACTCCCTGAGCCTCTCTTCACAAATGGTAAGTTATCTTCTGTAAAATCAGTTTAATTGTCCTACCCCTATGTTTTAATTTAAAGAAAAGTATAAAGAAAGTAAAGTTCTCTGGTAGTAAACTGGGATTTGGGGGAGGTAAATTTCGCTATTTAGAATCCATGGAAACAAGTTTATTGACATTCAGCCAAGCTACATTGTTGGGCTCCTCCTTATTTCTGGCTCAGAATAACATTTCTTACTCTCCCCAGACAGAATCTTTAAACATGTTAGTGTACATGACCTTTATTTACATGTTTTTAGTCAATCAACAAATCCTTGCTGAGCATGTCACACACACGTATTAATAAAGCTATACATAGAGATAGAGATGATGTTGTGGTTGGTATTGAGGGCAGGAAAAGGAGAGTTATGGTGAAGGCAAAGTTTCTGCTTTCATGGAACTTTTGCACTCTAAGTTACTTGAACATAGTTCTCATTCAAATTGATGCTATTTTGGAGGCCTAAATTTTAAACCTACTTCAGACCCACTCTTTTTCTCTAAAGAAATACCTGTTATTTTGTTGGCAATACGAAGGATACATTTCGCCTAATCAGTTGAGAAAAAAATGTCTTTCTGTTGCCAGATAAATACGAGGACTTTATTGCAGCCATTCGGAAAGAAGATCCCCTGGAGCGTCTTAAAACATTAAAAAGACTAGTGAGTATTATTGGTGAGTTTGGGGACGACAACAGAAAGTTTTACGAGTTTTAAATCTATCACTGAAATGATGTTTTTACAGATTCATGATTTGCCTGAACATCATTACGAAACCCTTAAGTTTCTTTCTGCTCATCTGAAGACAGTAGCAGAAAATTCAGAAAAAAACAAGGTAGGTAAATAAAGAATTCTAGAAATATTCTTTCACGTTTTCAATCCAAACCTTATGGTGTATATCACAAAATTCAAAGGAGACTGCTAATGAAAAGGAATGGGCACAAATTTGTCTAGCTGGCTTAGTCACTAACCAGGTCCCCAGATCTAGAAACAGCAGAAGGAAAGGGCACAGATGTAAACTAGTTCTGATGGTTCCGATATTTTTCTTCCCTCCTTAGATATGTCTGTCTTTCTCATCTCCTGGCCTTCACACAGCTCATAATTGCCGGGTCAGTATGATAGGAGTGGGAAAGATTAGTAGAAAGAACTGTGAGGTGATGGATGACTTTGAACCTTAAAAACATAGTAGTTTAAAAAGAGTTTCCAAGAGCAGCTAGATGGTAGAGTGGATAGAGCTCTGGACTTGGAGTCAGGAGGACCTGAGTTCCAGTGCAACCTGAGACACTTGACACTTCCTAGCTGTGTGACCCTGGGGAAGTCACTGAACCCCTTTACCTCACCAAAAAGCAAAAACAAACCAAAAATAAGAAAGAAAGAAAAAAGTTTCCAGTACAGGGAATGCTGAGATATGCACCAGGCCCCCTGTTTATGTAAACCCTTCACAGTTTGGTCTTCTTTCTGCCTCTGGTATCTGCCAGTAAAAAAAAAAAAAGGATCCGTGGCTTCTCCCAGCACTTCTTTCCCTTTTTTCTTGGCTGGCCTACCCTTGATATGCTTCTTTCTCAGTTAGTAGTATACATTGCAGCAGTTTACATCTTTGGGGCATGAAGATTTCTTGGTGGTAAAAGAACTTGATTTCCTTTTTGATATTATGCCAGACAATAGTAATGTGGTTTTACTTAGATAGAACAGTATAGTTAAATTAAAAACTGAGGTACAGATCCAAGTTCTGTTGACTACTACCTGCTATGTGACCTTGAATGAGTTACTTTACTTTAAGGCCTGAATTTCCTGCTCTAAAAAATGAGCTAGAATATCTTCTGACTCTAAATCCTCTCGTCTCTCCTCCTTTGCTTCAGTTCTAATCTCTGATGAAGAGGTAACCCTTCCCTTCAAAACCAGTCCTCCCTCTCTCTTACATTTCACTGTCTCCTGTCTACAATGTATTTTACTCTCCTCCCCTTCAAGAGGGAAAAAAAAATTTCCTTGCCCCCAGCATCCCTGAAAGCTATGTGTACTTTCTCTTTTCTCCCTTTCATAAGCAAACTTCTAGTAAAAGCTGTCTACACCCATGCCTCTGCCCTTCCTGTTAAGCACAAACCAGAGCTGCAGATGATCTGTTTGCCAAGCCAAAAGACTTCTTCCCAATCTTCCTTCAGGTCTCAATACATGCTTTCACTTGATCTCTGAAGTATTTGAAACTGTTCACCATCCCCTACTCCTGGCTATATGCTCTCCTCTCTAGGTTTTCCTCATCATCTCCCATGGTTTGAATGACCAGATATCTCTAGGAAGGACTCCCACATCTGTAAATATACAGCCCCAGGTACTCTATTGAGATTCAGGACCCCCATCGTGAACTGCCTGTTGAATATTTCAGACTGTACTTGTCTGACAGCCATCTTAAACTCAGTGTTAGATAATCACAATTTATCTCTCCTCCCTAACTTCCACATGTCCCTATTTTTGTTGAGAGAACCACCATCCTTCAGGTACCCAGACTCACAATCTTGAAGTCATCCCCAGCTTTCTGTCTACCTTGTCCCCTCCTATATCCAGTCAGTTGCCAAATATTTGCCTTCACAACATCTCTTCTATCCATCTCCTTGTTTCTCACCTGGATTATTATTACAGTAGGATTGTCCATAGTGTCCCTCATTTCAAACCTATCCTCCACACAGCTTTTCAAAATGATTTTCCTAACGTACAGGTAGAATCGCGTCACTCTCCTGCTTCCACAGCTCTAGTAGTTTTGTCTGTAGAAAAAAGCAAGGACTCCTTTATTTTGTGTTTAAGCCCTCCCTAGTGTGGCTCCAGCTTATTATACATTCTGTCTTTCAAGCACTCAGCACTCTAGCCAAACTGTCGTCCTTTTGCTCCTTTGGATGTCACCTTGTCTTTCTTATCTGCCTGCCCTTGCCCAGGTCAGATACCATTCCTCAAATATGATCCTGCCTCCCCTCTGCCTCTTAGAATCTCTACCTTCCTTCTAAGCTCAGTTAAGACAGTATTGTCATTCATGGGACCTTTCCTGAGCTCCCATGCATTTACTCCATGGGCATATTGTTAGACATATTGTATGGACTGTTGTTCTGCCCAATAGAATGTAAGCTCCTTGAGGGCAGGGACTTCTCCAGCACCTAGCCTAGTGTCTGGAACATAAGAAGTGCTTCATAAATGTTGGATGACAAATTGATCTTTATTACACACTTCTCTTTTTGTTTTCAGGGTTGATTTTTCCAAGGGACTGTTCCTTGAACAGTCTGTTGATGATGTAACATCAAATAACCGTTATTCAAACACCAGTTAATTTCAGAACAATGTATCTTTCCATTGTTATTAGATACCAAGAAAATGCACACAAAGTCCATGTCCTTGAGAGCCTTATAATCAGATTGGGAGTACCCGACCCATATGCAAAGATTTAGAGAGATTTACAAAACAATGTTTGAATCAATGTCATTATAAGAGTACCAAGTATATATTTGCAGAAGGCACTCAGAATTAAGACTATTGATACAAATCCCTAGGATTCCTAAAAGGTGTTTTGAACTGAATTTTTTAAAAACTGAAAGATATGAAATGGATAAGAATTGGCATTGCAGGTAGGGAGAAATGACAGAGTGACGATACAAGCTGGGGGTGAATGTGCAAGTATGGAGTCACGAGCCAAATGGGCTTGCTCATTCTTCTATTTTTCTTCAAGACAACGTTGGCTTTTGGAAATTTAAGCTTCTTTGAATATTAATCACATCTCTTTTGTGCCAGACAATTTCTGATGTTTTTCAATAAGACGATGCCATCTTTCCGCTCTCTCCCCCCTTTCCCATCCTTTTTTTCAGATGGAACCAAGAAATCTAGGCATTGTTTTTGGCCCAACCCTTGTGCGACCGCCAGAAGATAACATGGCACATATGGTGACTCACATGCCCGACCAGCACAAAATTGTAGAAACCGTTATCCAACATGTAAGTGGGTGGTTAGTCTTTGAGAAAAGGCTCTTTGAATGAAAGATCATTTGGATTTTAGTTCTTTCTCCTCTCTCTTAACACAGACATTTTCTCTCCGTCCTGTCCCCCATACTAATGACAGTTTGGAGGGTTTTCTCATCTTTTTTTTTTATTTTAAATTTTTAGCATGACTGGTTTTTCCCAGAAGAAGGTGCAGAAGAGCCTCTTGTAAGTTCCTTTTTGCTTTTATGATTGGTTATTTTGATTTGGGACACACAGTCCTGAGTTTTCAATAGTGGGACCATAGTCCACCATTTGCCACTATTAGCTCTGCGTGTCAGAAGTTGATTCCTTGCTTCTAAATTTCTGTTGTAATGAAAATATCAGTAGCTAAAACCGTGGTATTAAGCACTGTTGTTGTTTTAAGATAAAGCAGTGTGGAAAATTAAAGTTAAAATATCAATAGGCTTTTCTAAATGTTGTGAAAAATATAATGACATAACTTTGAAGAAATGTTGAGGGGATCTTTGTTTATTAACCATAGACAACAGTTCAGGAGGAAAACACTGTAGAATCTCAGCCAGTGCCAAACATAGTAAATGTCCTATTTGGCAGTCCTCTTGGAAGACTAGTCGTTGTTTGTACTCACTGTATCTTGTCTAATAAATACTAATAGCCTCTCCCCAATGTTAAAGTTAAAGAACACTGCCCTAGTCTTGACTTACACAACAGCTAATTCTTGTTGACTATGACTTCCAAGTGGATACTCTTGTATACAATAAATGACTTGGTTTCTGATGTGTCAGTTCAAAATACTAAGGACAGTTCTTTGAGGTATTGGGTCCTGAAATTAAGGGATATAGAAAAGAGTTTGGAAAGATCCCTAGGGGAAAAGAGAGAGAGAGAGAGACCAAACCATTAAATTTTCTTGAAAATTGAGTACTTCAGGGCTATTGGTATTCTTTTCCTTTAGAAAGTTTGAGGGGGGAATATGACCAAAACACCTCAAGAGAAAGTGAATATGGCTGAGTTTTGTGTTTTTTTTCCTGAGTTTCCCTTTTCTCTTTCCTTCCCAGGGTTCTTGGGGATCCGGAAAGGATCAGTATAGCAGGGAATTGCTTGTATCCTCCCTCTTTGCAGCGGCCAGTCGCAAGAGGAAAAAAACAAAAGAGAAAGCACAGCCAAGCAGCTCAGAGGATGAGTTGGATAACGTCTTTTTCAAGAAAGAAACTGCAGAACAACCTGCAGTGATAATAGTAGTAAAGAGGACAGCAGAGGAGAGTCCAAAAGAGAGAATGATCCAGTGAGAAAGCAAAGAACTAGTGTTTCTAAGGATATTAGTAGCAAAAAAGACTCGCACGTGAGGAAAGAGGAAAAGCTGGCACCAAGGAAAGAGAATGCGGCATGTGGAGAGCCCTCGCTGCCCTCCAACTCAAAACACACCAAATCACCTACTCTCGGCTACCGTCTCACCGTGCTTAAAGAAGGCCCCCAGATCTCCTCTCAGCTCCCAGACCCCTCTTCTGGCCTTGGTGCTCTACTTAGCACTCCCTCCCCACCATCCTTGATGAGATTGCCTGCTAAGAAATCGTGCAGTCCAGAAATTAAATGCAATGAGTTCCTGGCCAGTGCCAGTTCGACCCCCTCAGACTACTCGGCCACTGCCTACCTGACCAGCCTCGATGGCAGCCGGCTAAGCCCAGAGGTACAGTCAGTTGCTGAGAGCAAGGGAGATGAGGCTGATGATGAGCAGAGTGAATTGATCAGCGAAGGGCGACCTGTGGAAACGGACAGTGAAAATGATTTTCCGGTTTTTGCCACAGGTTTTCTTTCGGAGAAATTCTTTTGCGGTAAGATCCAAGAAATGGTGAAGACAGGCCGGAGAAACTCCGAAGGAAGTGAATTAAGTTGTACTGAGGGAAGTTTAACACCAAGTTTAGACAGCCGGAGACAGCCATTTAGTTCACATAAGCTTATTGAATGTGATACACTCTCCAGAAAAAAGTCAGCTCGGTTCAAGTCGGAGAGTGAAGGTGTAGGTGATACCAAGGATGAGAAAGAATCATCCTCTGTAATTAAAGTATTTGACATGAAGAAGAAAGGAAAGTCAACAGGGAATTTGCTGGTGCCAGCTAGAAGTGAATCAGAAAAACATGAACCCACTTGGAGAATTAAAATAACTGACCGGCTAAAACTGAGGCTCAAAGCATCTGCAGATGACATGTTTGGGGTGGGAAGTCAGAAAAATAGCTCTGCAGAGAGTACTAAAAGGAAAAACATCAGAAGACGACACCCTCGGAGGGCAAAGTGATTTTGCAGAAATCAGTGTTTTAAATGCTTGGAAGGTTCCTGAACAGAGTGGGAAAGAGAGTCTGAACTTTCTGCTGTGACTCGATTAAAACCCAAATGCCCAGCCCAAGACCTCTCCATTTCAGACTGGCTCGCACGAGAACGCTTATGTACTAGCACGTCTGACTTGAACACAGGAGAACCCGGAGAGCATAGACTGGAGAACACTAGTAAACAGAAATCTATACATCAGATGGAGGCAGCTTCCCTAGCACCTTAAGTTTGACAAACAGACCCCTTTTTTCTAGACCATCCCAATCACCTGAACAAATAAATGGTGAAAGCTTCCAGAATGTCAACCAAAATGATGCTCCTATACCTGTTGCCAATCCTCAAAAACCATCCCTAACCCCAGGAACTAAATCACAGTTTATCAGTGTCTCTAAAATGGAGGGATGCGTCCACTACAGCAACTCAAATGATACTGTTACATGTTCCAATAACTCTGTAAATATGTTTCTGTACTAGAATTGTTATTATGCAGCCTTCATTTTGGGCTGGTTTCATCAATGTGCACTGTGGAATGTCTTCACTGTGCATTTCTATGGTCAGAAGAACATAAAGTTCAGAAAAAATATATATCTATATATTTTAAAAATATATTGGATAGTTGCACACAAATAAGCGAGGTATTTGTTGTAACATGCTATGTAAGTCTCTACAAGGTTTATGACCAGAAATTGATGAGTAAATCAGCTGGCATTAGTACGCAGCAAATTTGTTCTTTTGGTTTAGTCACTAACAAAAGTGCCTCATCATAACAATTCATTGGTTTTGTTAGGGTGCCATCTTGTTAACTGCTAAATTAGAAAACTTAAAATGAACAGATGAAAGCATTTTATTGGTAATGTTTCATTACATATTACTGATTTTAACACAGGTTTATACAGAGCTTCCATTCCTTACGCATTCCAGTGGGATCTCTGAGTTTTATATTCAAACTTTTAATACAGTTTTTGAGTTTTGTGTGACTTGAATTTTTAATCTTTCTGTAAAATAAGTAATTTAAATGAACCTATTATATTTGTATCTTTTCAGATACCACATTTGTTATAAATGTTGTGACACCGGCGTGTAGATAGTGGATCCTGGATGGACCTGGCTTATTTTAGGAAGAATATAATTCCGCATGAAGACTTAATGAATCTAAACCTGTGTCATGCCTGTGTGCATACCCAATTATACACTGGAAATAAAACTGTTTTGTTGAACTTTTTGCATGGTTCAATATCATTCTACTGAGTCATTTTAAAATGTCACTTATAAATTTTAGTCAGCCTCCACTTATGGTAGATAGTAGCTAGCCCTGGCTTAGGAAAAAAACAAATAAACAAGAGAATGATTATTTTTATGATATAAAAGGAAAATACTTTTGCTCTAGATTTGCAAAGCATTATCTCCTCTTATCCCTCTTTGAGGTCAGCTAGTCTCCTCAGTCCGTACTACACATTCAGACTTAGCCGTACCTGACATAATCTTCCATACACCAGTCTACCCACTCATATGCAAAAGATGGCCACAAAGCATTCTTTTCTCTGTAGGGAGCTGTATTTAGAGCAATTTATTAAAGCTTGAATTTTGTTTCATATTGTATACATGAATGTTCCTAGGAAATGAATCTTCTTTGTTTCTATGTAGATAATCCAGAGGGTAATACACTTTGCAAGTCTGGGTCTAAGTTCCTCATTGTGAAAGGTTCCTTCCAGCCTCTAGACTGGAGATCTAGGAATTTGTTTTTTAAAAAATTTTGATAACTGTACTTCAACACAGTTAGTTTCCTTTATAATGTTATGTGTTTTATTTTACATATTTAAAAACATTTTTAAAGAAACATTCATAGTAGGCTTCAAACTGTTGCCAGAGGGGAAAAGGTTAAAAGCCCAATCTAGATCGACATCCTATGACCTGATCCAGTGGGAGAGGAGAGTTGTTTGCTTGTTGCTCAATGCGTTTGTTTCTCATGGAGATTAGAGTCTAACAGATATTGCTTATATTGCCTTGCTTTTTATTTTCTTAATAGGTCTAACTAGCTGCCAAAGAAATCTAATCATTCAAATGTAAGACTTAAAAAATAGTATGCATTGATTCTAGTAATCCAATTATTTGTGTTTTTCCTTGAATAATATGAGTCATAAAAGCACCATTTGAACTTTGAATTTTTTGAATTTTTAAATG